GTTGCATGATTCAGGAGTTCATTTCTTTTTATTGCAGAGTATTACTCCATTGTATGGATGTGGTATCGGCTGTTCATCCACTACCAGATGAAGGACATGTGGGCTAATTCCAGTGTGGAACGATTATGACTAATGCTGCTGTGAATATTCTCATGCAGGTTTCTATATAAACATACCTTTTTACTTATGTTGCTGAGTTGTATGGTAAATGTATATTTAACCTTATAAGGAATTGCCAAACTGTGTCCCATAATGTTCTTACCACTTTGCATTCTTACCAGCAATGTATTAGAGCTCCAATTGCTCCATATACTTGCCAGTTAATGGTATTGTTAGTTTTTAGTTTTTGTTTTTTTTTAATTTCAGCCATTCTAATAGCTGTTTAGTGATACCTCACTACGGTATTAAATTCTATTCTGTAATTACTAATGATATCAAGCAACTTTTCATGTACTTTTTTGGCATACATATGTCTTCTTTGGTGAAACAAATCTATTCAAATATGTTGCCCATCTAAAAAAACATCGGGTTCTTTTCTTATTGTGTTTTGAGAGTTACTTATATATTGTATACAAGTCCATTAGCAGATATGTATTTTGCAAATATTTTCTCCCAGTCTGTGGCTCATTTTACTCATTCTTTGAACAGTGTAGTTGAAGCAGAAGTTTTGAGTTTTTAATAAGTCCAATTAATATTTTTTCTTTAAAGAAAAAGGATCATGCTTTCAGCATTGATTTAAGAAATCTTTGGCTAAGGCAGAAATATTTTCTACGTTTTCTAGTAAAAGCCTTATGGTTTTAGGTTTTACATTTAAGTCTTTGGTTCATTGTAAGTAAATGTTTGTCTATGGTGCTAACATAGGTTGAGGTGCTTTCTTTTTTCTGTGCATAATATATATCGAATTGAGCCTGTAAATTTACCATTTTTTCCAATGAATTGTTTGTATATCTGAGATGAAATCAAGTGGACATATTTGAAAGGGTCTATTTCTGGACACTTATTCTGTTCCACTGCTCTACATGGCTATCCTTTCACCAATACCACACTGTCTTGATTATATTCCTTAAAGCATGGTTTATAAGAAGTCTTGACATCAGGTAGAACGAGACATCTACAATTTTTTTTCAAATTTATATTGACTATTCTAGTTCTTTTATCTTTCTGAATAAATTGTAGAGCCTGTTTGTCAAGTTCTGCTGGGATTTTATGGGATTGTGTTGAATTTAAAGATCAATTGCTGACATCTTTATTATATTGTGTCTTCTAATCCATGACCACTGAATTTTCTCTATTTATTAAGGTCTTCTTTAATTTCTTCTAGAAGTGTTTAGATGTTTTTACCATTTAAATATTTCACATACATTGCTAGATTTATATGCAAGTATTTCATGTTTTGGAGCTGGTATAAACAGTACTTGAAAAATTTCAATTTCTAATGGTGTTTTACTAGTTTATAGATATACTGTTGATTTCTGTATGTTGATCGTGTATCTTGCAACCTTGCTAAAACTTCAGCCATTCAAGTTTTCTACAAAAGCAATCGTCATAAGCGAATGAAGTCTATTTTATTTCTTACTCTCCAGTATGTATGCCTTATTGTACTGTCTAGGAACTCCAATACAATGCCGAATAGCATGGTTAACAGTAGACATCCTTGTCTTCTTCCACTTTAAGTAAAAATAAACTACTCTTTTACTATTAAGTATAATGTTAGCTGGGGAATTTTTTTTTTTTTTTTTTTTTTTTTTTTTGCAGTACGTGGGCCTCTCACTGTTGTGGCCTCTCCTGTTCTGGAGCACGGGCTCCGGACACACAGGCTTAGTGGCCATGGCTCACGGGCCCAGCTGCTCCGCGGCATGTGGGATCTTCCGGGACTGGGGCACGAACCCATGTCCCCTGCATCGGCAGGCGGACTCTCAACCACTGTGCCACCAGGGAAGCCCCAGCTGGGGAACTTTTATAGGTGCCTTTTGTCAGCTTCAGATATAGTTCCCTTATATCCTTACTTGCTGAGTTTTATAATGAAAAGATGATAAATTCTGTCATATACTCTTTTTTCTTTTACATCTATTAAGGTGATCATATGTGGTTTAATTTTGTTTTTGTTTTTTGGCACATGCTAGAAGATTTAATCTTTAAAATAAACATTAAGTTAGGCATTCTATTTGCAGGAGAAACTGACATTCAAAGAAGTTAAATAACTTAAAGAGCTAATGGGAAGTGGAGACAGAATTGTCCAATATATTCAAGGGAAGGTTTGTCTAAGCAAATTGCTCTGGGCTCAAATAAGGGAGGATATGCAGCATACTCTAAGCTCTCATTAGTTCTCTTTTTTATTTTTGAATTTTATTTATTCATTTTTTTATACAGCAGGTTCTAATTACTTATCTATTTTATACATATTAGCATACACATGTCAATCCCAATCTCCCAATTCATCACACCACACCGCCCGCCTCCCCCCCAACTTTTCCCCCTTTGTGTCCATACTTTTGTTTTTTACATCTGTGTCTCTATTTCTGCCTTGCAAACCAGTTCATCTGTACCATTTTTCTAGATTCCACATATATGCGTTAATATATGATATTTGTTTTTCTCTTTCTGACTTACTTCACTCTGTATGACAGTCTCCAGGTCCATCCACATCTCTACAAATGACCCAACTTTGCCCCTTTTTATGGCTGAGTAATATTCCACTGTATATATGTACCACCTCTTCTTTATCCATTCATCTGTTGATGGACATTTAGGTTGCTTCCATGACCTGGCTATTGTAAACAGTGCTGCAATGAACATCGGGGTGCATGTGTCTTTTTGTTTTTGTTTTTGTTTGAATTTTTGAATTTGATTTTATTTTGTTTTTATACAGCAGGTTCTTATTAGTCATCAATTTTATACACATCAGTGTATACATGTCAATCCCAATCGCCCAATTCATCATACCTCCACCCCCACCCACTGCCGCTTTCCCCCCTTGGTGTCCATACGTTTGTTCTCTAAATCTGTGTCTCAATTTCTGCCCTGCAAACCAGTTCATCTGTACCATTTTTCCAGGTTCCACATATATGCGTTAATATGCGATAT